CCGAAAGCTCAGATGAATAAAGTTATGATTCCGGTGAACGCTCCGACTTCTTATAGACGAACACCTGGGATGCGAACTTTTGCCTCTGTTCGTGAATATGGTAACAGTCCCTTTAGCGACTAGAACGCCTACTTCGTAGAACTGTCTACTTATTTCATAGTAGTAGACGTGCCCTGTTTTATTACTCCAGTATCGGCTGTTTCCCAGCCGATGCCTCCACACACAATATTGTTTTCGTGTGCTGTTGTAATCACTAAACGCGACTGTGTTGCCGACAGTGCCAACTCACTTATACTTCTTTTCTTTTTTAATTAAATTTTTCCCTTGTAATCCCCTTTTCCTTTCCTACCCCTCTGTCTGCAGGTTCTGGAAGATGCACGCAAGCTGTGTGCGCAGGCAAAGCAGGCCGGTGCTGGTAACTACCTCGTCCACGTCTTTAAGGCGGAGTCCAGTGACAAGGCTATTAATGCGGCCCTTAAGGAGATGGAGAAGGCGCTACCGGTGACTGCAGTCATGGCTCTCTCCGTCGACAAGACCGCCAATAAAGTCCTCTGCCTTTCTCAAGTTCCAAAGGTTTGTGGGCAAACTTTTTTACCGAGCTGTGCTGCTAACTCTCGCATTATGCGGCCCAACTGACAGTGCGATATCGTGTTCCGATATCGCCTTGTTGGCCGGTGAATGCTGGCGGATGAAGCGGTTGTACGGAAGCCGTACATCGTTTGTTAAAACAACATGGGGTCTCTGAGTATCTTTCCCGGATACGTTTTGCAACTCAACTGCCTCAATGCCTCATTGTATCTAAAAGACACTGTTAAATGGAGCGACGCCCACACGTCGAGAGGGTGCATGAAACGAAATAATTAGAATAAGAACACTATTGACACCTAGGAGGTAGTATGTTTTACCCCCCCAATTTCTCGTGTATTTGGTCTTTCCTCGTATATAAACAATCTCCACCCAAACAAAACCTGAGGCGGCTGGATCGAAAGGCACTCACAAATCGAGTTATGGCACATACTTTTCCCGTTGTGTTGGGTCCCCGTAGGCAGCTGCACAGTAGCTGGTAATGTAAACAAAATGACATAAATGGCAAAAAGCAAGGGAGGCTGTAATGATAATTTATAGCGTATTAGCCGTCATCAGCCAGGCCTACCCTATTCTTGAAACTCCAATCCGC